AGACACAGACTCTGACGCAGGCTCCAGCCTCTGAGCTGTCAGCACAGACCCTGATGTGAGGTTCGAACCCACGAACCGTGAGATCATGACCTGAGCCAAAGTCAGACACTTAACTGACTGAGCCACCCAAGCACCCCAGAAGATATTTTTATAATAAATGACTAGGGATTTGAGAGGACTCTTATTTAGAGAAGTTCTCATATCTTTAAGATTCTTTTTCATTGGTTATCAGAAGTGAGAAAATGCTTCATTTTCAAGGCAAAGCAATAACTTGGAGAATGATACTGAAAAAACCTTGTCTTAGAAAAATATATGCAAACTCTTCCACTTATTAATCATTTATACTCAATACATTATGGGCCTTCCACTTTCATAGTGGGCAAAATTAGGCACAGGTTTGGAAGCTAATTAAAAAAATACGGTTTTCCAATATCATTCATTCTCCTTTCAATGTTTTGCTAGTCTCAGATTTTTATTTTTATTTTAATGTTTATTTACTTTTGAAGGAGACAGACAGCACAAGTGGGGGAGGGGCAGAGAGAGAGGGAGACAGAATCTGAAGCAGGCTCTGGGCTCTGAGCTGTCAGCACAGAGTCCAACATGGGGCTGGAACCCACAAGCTGTGAAATCATGACCGGAGCCTAAGTCAGATGCTTAACCAACCGAGCCACCCAGGCACCCCTGATTTTTAAAAAACTGATAACGGGTGCCCCGCTGGCTCAGTTGGTACAGCATATGACTCTTGATTTCAGGGTTGTGAGTTTGAGTCCTTTGTTGGGTGCAGAGAGTACTTTTTCTTAAATAAACAAAAATTTTTTTTTTTACATTTATTTATTTTTGAGAGACAGAGAGAGACAGCGTGAGCAGGGGAGGAGCAGAGAGAGAGGGAGACAGAATCAGAAGCAGGCTCCAGGCTCCAAGCTGTCAGCACTGAGCCCAAAGCGGGGCTCAAACTCACAGACTGAGATCATGACCTGAGCCGAAGTCGGACGCTTTGACTGACTGAGCCACCCAGGCACCCCCAGAGAGTACTTAAAAAAATCTTTTAAAACCCTGGTAAAATCTGGGGTATATTTAATTCTCCAAATTAAGAAAGTCAGTCAAGAGTCTATTCAACTTGGCATTCTCAAGAAGGGCATATCTAAACAAACAAACAAAAAAAAGTGATATTCGAGGGCTAAAGGCCTAATTTAAGGTCTTTCATTCTGTTTAATATGAGGTTTTACAAGCCTTGCTTAATTTTCTAATGCCTTGGTTTCCTTACATTGTTTTCACAAAGGGCTGGCATGAAAACATTTCAAAGCAACAAGTTAAATATACATCATTTTCTCTAAATTGATCTTTCTTCCACCTATGATCTAAAATAGTGGACCACTGCTTAAATGTCATCTTTCAGGTGAGATCCTTCCTGAACACCCTATGCAAAATTAAGCCCCTTCGATATTCTGCATTCCCCCTCTCTGCTTTCTTTTTCCCTATAGCACTTACTTGTTCATTGTCTGTCATCCCCCACTAGGATATAAATTCCATAAAGGCAAGGAAGGTGCTTTACCTCCAGCACCTAGAATGATGTTTGGTGCATCGTAGTACTCAATAAATACTTATTGTATGAATGAGTGAATTATGCAAATCTAGAGATGAAATATACTATAACACCATCAAAGGCAGGAATTAGGTGTGATTGAATCAACAGGGTTAGATCTCAAAAGCATGTATTTGAGAGCAAACAAAAGCAAGTTGCAAAATAATGCATGCATTTCCTCATCTGCAAAATAGGGCTGGTAATGGCATTGTTATCAGGATCAAGTTAGTTCATTAGTGTTAAATGCTGAGAACAATGATATAAGCACTCAATAAATGTTATTTGCCATCATCATCATTACATTGATGAGAAATCACTCACAGCAAATAATACTACTAATTTTATGTGATATAATCTAATTTTACATGGTTAACCAACCTTAAGAACTCTGGAAGGACTATATAGACTAAACTGATTACTTTTGTGAGGAGAGAAGAACTCATATGATGGTCAAGGAGAATTTTAAATTTATCTGTCATGTTCTAATATTTTAAATGTAGAATCAATCCATATAACTAAAAATCAGTATTTTAAAAAGTTTAGTCCTATTTCTTGAGACATAATAACCTTGAGAGGGGGCAGGGAAGAAGGGAGGAAGAGAGAAAGAATGAGGAGACAGAACGGAGAGATGAATTACTTAGGATAAGAATTTTTTAACTTTTCTGATTTATTTCTGAAGTGCTTCTAGAATAATCACCACGGATAGGATGCTCTTAGCCTGGACTGAAAATAGCTAGAGACAAGAACCACGAATAAAACTGACCTGGAGTCCTGGATGGATTACATGAGTTATTTGGATTGGAGAAAACTATCATTAACACAGTCTTAAAATAGGAATAAATTATTTGAGGCCTTGTGTTGGTACTTACTGATGCTTCAGCCACTGCTCCACAAATGGAATGGAGAAGAATTCCGTGAAAGACTCCCCTATCCTCTTTGGATTTTGACTGGTAACGATGCCATATTTTGATTGACAAGAAAACAATAAGCAAAAATTCAAGTCAATTGTTGCTATTCTGCTTGCAAATGAACACTATTGAATCCTTAGGGTCATTGAATATTCAAACACATGCAAAACTTACTTGTATAACCACTCAGTCAGAAAATCACAGGCAATGAATTTGGTTCTTTTTCTCTAAAGAGAAAAAAGAGAAGAGAGAATTAAATTATACTCTTTGTCCACATGTCTGAGTAGGACAAAGAAAGAGAGGTTAATTGATTTTTTGGGTTAGATGAAATATGCATGAGTCTTTTATGAGGTTTATAAGTACATCAACAAACAGTAGCTTGGGGTGATGTAAAGAATTCTGAAGACTTTTCTCTAGTCATCTTTATTTTTTTGTTTTTTGTTTTTAATTTTTTTAATGTTTATTTATTTTTGAGAGAGAGACAGAGTGCAAGCAGGGGAAGGGCAGAGAGAGAGACACACAGAATCTGAAACAGGCTCCAGGCTCTAAGCTGTCAGCACAGAGCCTGACGTGGCGCTGGAACCCATGAACTGTGAGATCATGCCTGAGCTGAAGTCAGAAGCTTAACCAACTGAGCCACCTAGGCACCCCTCTCCAGTCATCTTTGGATTAGCACATTTTCTGATAGCAGGGACTAATAAGAGACAGTGCACATAGTAGGAGGCTTACTACATGCTTTTGGAATTGTCACAGAAGGATTTTATTTAAATCTGGAACTTGATTCTGAGTAACTGTACTTACTGCTTTCTCCCAGTCCACTCGAACCCTCCCAACAGCACTACTTCGGGTCTGGGTACCATCTTGCAATGTGGAAACCAAGCATGCAGGTGCCATTGGCCAGTGTGGCTGACCCTGCCAGTTGTCCACCCAATAGTGGCTCCAGGTCTACACTTCTCCCACCCAGTTCTGTGCCTCAGGAGGCTGATTTTATGGTTCACTTCCACCAGGCTCCCTTACTCACTAGGTGGGTCCAGCCAGTGGGAGGTACCAGCAGGAGATCCGAGACAGGGAGGATAGACAGGGTGTAGTGGATTGAACTGTGTGTCCTCCTCGACCCAAATTCATACGTTTAACTCCTAACTCCCAGAACTTCAGAATGTGACTGTATTTGGAAATAGGATCATTACAAATATAATTAGTTGTGTCCAGCCACTCCTGAAGGGCACAGCAACTCCAAAGAAAATGAATAAATTTGGGGTAATATAGCAAGTAAGAAGGGAGATGCTATTGGCTAAACCATCAATGGCAGATTTCTCATGACACTGTACTAGACCCTAGATCCTGCTATAACCAAATTCCAAAGCCCAAATTCCCTGGACCTTTCAGGTACATGAGCCACTATATTCATTTTTTTTTTAATGCTTATTTATTTTTTCAGAGAGAGAGAACAGAGTGAGTGAGCGAGCATAAGTGGGGGAGGGGAAGAGAGAGAGGGAGATAGAATCCTAAGCAGGCTCCAAGCTCTGAGCTGTCAGTACACAGCCTGATGCAGGGCTCAAACTCACAGACTGTGAGATCATTACCTAAGCCAAAGTCAGGCGCTTAACTGACTGAGCCACTCAGGCATCCCTAGTCTCTGATTAAGCCAGTTTGTATTGGGTTGTTTATTGCTTACAACAGGAAAAGTTTTAACTCCTATTCCTTTTTCTCTCCAATCAGCTAACCCCCACTTGTCCTTCTAGATGCCTCCAGGAAGACTTTCTGACCATTCTCACCCTCCACAGCTTAAACTCCCCAGCCCCCCACCCCCAGTTCCTCATTTGCCACTCTGTCATAGCACCTCAGACATAACCATAACATAATACTTGCCCACATGTCTATCTTCCCCACTTAACTATAAACTTCCTGAGGACAAGGCACATGTCTCTTCTCTTTATATTCTCTTTATATTCTTAGTGCTTAATTGAGTGCCTTGCATGGAGTAGGTGATCAATGGGTGGTAAGTAAATGAATGAATGAATTCACCATTCAACTCTCAAACATCAAAGCAAGAAAGAACTTATTTACAAGAATTCTGACATCTTTTTTTTAAAGTTTATTTATTTATTTTAAGAGTGCATGCAAACGGGAGAGGGGCAGAGAGAGACGGAGAAAAAGAGAATCCCAAGCAGGCTCGGCACTGTTAGTTCAGAGTCTAATGTGGGGCTTGATCTCACAAACGGCGAGATCATGACCTGAGCTGAAGTCAGACGCTTAACCTACTGAGCCACCCAGGCGCCCCAAGAATTCTGATATTTAAAACTAGCGACTGCTTGGGGCGCCTGGATGGCTCAGTCAGCTGAACGTCCGACTTCGGCTCAAGTCATGATCTCAGTGTTCATGGGTTTGAGCCCCACATGGGGTTCTATGCTGACCGTTCAGAGCCTGGAGCCTGTTTCAGATTCTGTGTCTCCCTCTTTCTCTGCCCCTCCCCTGCTCACACTTTGTCTCTGTCTCAAAAATAAATAAACATTAAAAAAAAAAAAAACCCAACTAAGGATTGCTAATATAATTCTGGACAGTTTCTCTTCATTTTCTTCTCCTAATATTTTATCATGAAAATGTTCCTTCTTTTTTTTCTTTTTTCCCCCCTTCACTTCAAAATAGCCAACTCAGCTTCATAATCTTAGATAAGGTTGAAAAAAAAAAACTGTTGTGAAATTGATTCTCACCCAAAAGGAAAGTGCTGCTTAAAATTTTTTACTGAAAGCTTTACTATAGCCGTTAGTCCATAAAACAGAGCAGTTCCCGAGTTGCTGGAGATTGTTTGCAGTCTTCTACCTCCTTGCTGATAGCCTTTTATTAAAAAATTGAAACACTGCTGGCCGGGGTAATAAAATTAAATGTACTGCAGCATGTAACAGGGTTTTCTAAGTCTGCCTTGCAACAGTAGGGTTGCCTTCAAAAAGCCATCTTTAACCCAACTAAGAAAATACTTGTACAACAATGCAAATATGTATCTAGCATGGATTGCCGTATAATTTAAACAATTCAGCAATTGTAAGATGGCAGTGTCTCTTTCTTTCCTGTCCATAAAAGATGCATTGTTCCCTTGGCATTTACTGCAGTGTTTGGTGGTAAAGATTCCTTCTACCAAGGGAATGCAGTTTGACTTACTCTATTAAATAGACTTTTAAAATAGCCCAATGGTCTGATGTATGAAGGTCATGCAGACAGATTTAATCACTTTTGATGCAAAGAAATAAAATGGAAGAAATTGTGTTTTCCTTCTGATCTGAGCAAGTGTGGACGTGCCGTGCATACTCAGACACGTGGAACAGTGAGGATATTGTTCAGCTGTTGTTTAGTTTAAAAATTATCTGCCAGGGAGCTGAAAGAGAGAAGGGAGAGCAAATGAAAAGTTGTGGTGAGTGAAGAGATAAGAGAGGAAGTAATAGAGAGAAAAATTAAAGAGTGAGATTAAGAAAGTGTGGGCACCCAGGGTTTATGTAATGCGGACAAACATACTGAGTTCATGATTGTTAAAGGGTGAGTATGTGCAAGTTTCGGCAAGCAGAGGAAACAGTTAAGACAACCTCAAACAAGGTTAAAAAGCAATTTTTAAAAATCCAGAATTAAAAGGAAAAAGACTAAATGACAAAGACATCATCATGTCATCATGAGTCTGCAACTTACTTTAAAATGCACCCAAAAAACAAGGTAGATGGATAGACGGATGGACTGATGGATTGGTGGACAGATATGCAACCAATCCAATAAGCAAAATGGTAACTGTAGAATCTAGGTGGTAAATATGTGGATGTTCCCTCTGAAATTCTTTCACTGTTCTATATTGCTGGAAAAATTTTGTTATAAAATTCGGGGGTGGAAAACATCATCATAAAAGACTGAAACCCCAAAGAGAGAAAAGGCAGAAATTGGAGTTCAACACAGACAGCACCTTGCACCGATGTTCATGTTGGGTACGCCCATAAGAAGCAGACTAGAAGTGCAGAGACTAGAAAGAGAAACTACTTGCATTGGAAAGTCACTGAATCTGCATCTGTAGATTCTGCATCTGTAATGAATGTAATTCCACCCCAGAAAGGTCAAAAGCACATGCTGTGAGGTTAGTGCACTGAAGTGTGGCTTGCTATGGCATTGTGTTTGTTGAGATTCTTTGGGTTTGCAAGGTTTAGAAATCTGTTCGGGTTACCTTGGTTACTGGGTATTTTTCACAAATCAGTTTAGGATAGATTTTGCCGCAGCAAACAACCCCTAAATCTGAGAAGCTTATATCATCAATGGCTTTTTTTTCACTCATGTTACATGAACATTTCAATCAGCTATAGCTCCCTGCTCCACGTTGTCTTTACTCTGGGATTCAGGCTGACGAGCTTCTCTCTAAAATAGCGCTAGTTATCACATTAAGTGAATACGACATGGTGAACCATGCTTTGACTCTTAGAGTGTGTATTTGGAAATGACATATGTCACGTTCACACATTGCTTTGACCTAAGCAGTCACATGGTCAAGCCTCCCTTAGAGAGAGGCCACAAATATTTTTGAACACGAATATAGTCTCGCACACGGGGTTAGTGTAAAGGCAGAAGGTGTGGAAGGAAAATGGGAATTCCTCTGACTGGGGGCAGGTCTCAGGGAGAAGTGGACCAGGGTCCATGGCTGTTCAGGGCGCAGGTCTGGCTAATCACAGTAGCCTCATCTACCTATAGCTTTGTGGCTCAACAACAGTTCTGGTTCTCAATCTACGTGGGACTCAGCCCTGTGGCATCGCTACTCCCCAGAAGGAAGAATCTGATTGGATTGGTAAGATACTACTCAGAATGGGCCATCCCTGTTGGGCAGAGCAATTGTACCAGATCATTTCATAGCCACTTGGCATTCTCAAGTGGCTGCCCATAGGGTGTGACACTTATTCTTGGCTCAATCACTTGTAGCCAGGGTAATGGGGACATGGACAAAGCAGGGACAGAGGGCTGAAGTTAAGGCTGTGGGTGTGGCATGCACTTAGAATGTCATAGCCTCCTTTCCCACATAGCTATTCTCTACAGTAAACTTCCAGACGCCTGAGAACCAGCCCCCCAAGACAAAAGTGATAACTGATTCTAGAAACGAGCACTCACTTGGACTACAGCCAGATGCCAAAATACTTATCACAGCAAACTTCAAACAGAAGTTACATTTTCCCCGACTGCATTGAATTTCATTAAAGAAAAATAATACTTC